CAGATGGAGAGGAGAGACAGAAGAGGCTCATGGAATTCAAAGGAGGAAGGGGTTTTAAAAGAAAGAAATTTGTCAGTTGTGGCATGCTTCAAAGAATTCAGGAGGGATCCCTGGGTGGCACAGCGGTTTGGCGCCTGCCTTTGGCCCAGGGCGCGATCCTGGAGACCCAGGATCGAATCCCACGTCGGGCTCCCGGTGTATGGAGCCTGCTTCTCCCTCTGCCTGTGCCTCTGCCTCTCTCTCTCTCTCTCTCTCTCTCTCTGTGACTATCATAAATAAATAAATAAATAAATAAATAAATAAATAAATGAATGAATGAATGAATGAATGAATGAATTCAGGAAGGACAGGTCATTGGGCTTGGCAACTCAGAGGCTGCTCTTTCAGTGATGGGTGAGAAGTCTACTTTGCAATGGGGGTAAGGAATAGAGGAAGCAGTGTGGACTCTTGTGAGGATACTGGCCACGAAGAGACAGAGAAAGAAGCTGTGCTACCTAGAGAAGGATGCGGGATTGAAGAATTTTTATTTATTATGATGGAAGAAACTGGCACAAAAAATAGGCTGCAGCAAAGGGAACAATATAGAGGAAGAGACTGAAAATTCAGAAGAGAAAAGGGTTAACTGATGGAGCAAGTACAATCCTGGAAAAGTTAGGGCATCCTTGAGAGACAGCCTTAAACCTAAAGAGGGTTAACATGCAGGTGAGATGGAAGGAAGTTGAGGGAGTTCCTCCTGCCTGAAGCCTCATTGCTCTACGCAATAAAGGTCAAACTGCCATTTCCTGGAAGGAGGGGTGATAACCTGGAATGCAGAAGGGTCTTGGAAAAAAAAAAAAAAAAAAAAGAAGGGTCTTGGGAAGAAGGATAAGACTGGAAATAGAAAAGGAAGCTGACTTGAATATTGACTGGCCTTATTGTGGTAATCTTTTTGCAATTTCTACAAATATTGAGTCACTATATTTGTACACCTGAAACTAATAGAATGTTGTATGTCAATTATATCTCAATTTTAAAAAGAGAAAAAAAGAAAGCTGACTAGAAGAAACACATGAACAGATTGCACAGTGGCACGGTGTGAGTTGATCATGCATTTATAGTGGTACCAATTCTTATTTTTTTTAAGATTTTATTTATTTCTGAGAGAGAGAGAGAGAGAAGCAGAGACAGAGGCAGAGGGAGAAGCAGGCTCCATGCAGGGATCCCAGGTCACCAGGATCACACTGTGGGCCAAAGGCAGCGCTAAACCGCTGAGCCACCCAGGTTGCCCTAATGGTACCAATTCTCATACTCACTGGTACCATTCTCACTCACCCAGAGACAGAGCATGGAAGCTGATGGGTTAATCTGATGGGTTGTTGTCCCAAGGTCAGGTGCTGGGAAGGAACACGCGAAGGCATTCCCTAGGGAGATGCTTAAATGGGTACATTAGGATCTTGGTAGGATATGGGAGAAAATAAAATCAAGTCATTTTATCAGATACCTGAGAGAAAAGGTTGGGTGGGTAAGGAACCATCATCAGTCTTAAAGAAGTAGCAAAGCAAGTAAAGCAGGTTTTGGGAAATAAACAGAAGGACAGAATCTAGTGATCAATGGAGCTAAAACTTGGGAGGTAGAAAAGTTCTGGGTGCCAGCAAAGCTCCTTCACAGAGTATTTGCACTTTTTTTTTTGTTTTCTTTTATTTTCCTCCCATTCTCCCTTCACTCAGAACCAAGCTTTTTTCTTTACCTGTTTTGGAAACAAGGATACCCTTGAAGAGCTTGAAATGCAGGAGTGACATGATTTGATATAAAATGTTCAGAACAGCAAGAGACATTAAAATTAGGTTCATAGCAGCATTGATTGTCATAACACAACACTAGAAAATAACTATTCATCAATAGTGGCATGGATAACACTGCATTTACTTAAAGTCTAAAAACAGGGGCACTTAGCTGACTTAGTTGGCTAAGTGTCCGACTCTTGGTTTTGGCTCGGGTCATGATCTCAAAATTGTGGAATCAAGCCCAGGGTCAGACTCCAAGCTCAGAGGGGAGCCTGCTTCAGATTCTCTCTCTCCTTCTCCCTCTGCCCCTCCCTCTGCTCTCTGTTTCTTTAAAATAAGTAAATCTTAAAATCTAAAAAGAGCTAAAATCAAACGGCATTGCTTAGGAGATGCAGAAAAGGGTGGTTAAGCTCGGAAAACAAGTAAATGATTGTCAGAAAAGTGAGGATGCTGGTGACCTCTGAGAGAATGGAGGCTGTCTTCATCAGGGAGGACCCTTGGAGAATGTAGGGGCTTGTAATGTTCTGTTTTTGTTTTTTTTTTTAGGTTATTTATCTATTTATTCATGAGACACACAGACAGAGGCAGAGACACAGGCAGAGGGAGAAGCAGGCTTCATGCAAGGAGCCTGATTGTGGGGCTAGATCCCAGAACCCCGGGATCACGCCCTGAGCTGAAGGCTGACACTCAACCACTGAGCCACCCAGGTGTCCCAATGTTCTAGTTCTTGACTGAGTGGTAGTATTATGGTTATTTCCTTTATAATTTTTCTTCAAGCTGTACATAAATGGTCTTGCACTTTTCTGTGTTATATAACCTGACTAAAGAGAAAACATGCATGGAATGATACATATACTGTATTTAGGAGGGGAAAATGAGATTAGGGAGGTGTGTACAGATACAGTTGTGTTTCTAATATTGTGTTACATGTGTTTCATTAGCTCCCAAGCTAAGTACATGGGTTTTCAATTATTATTGTCCATAATTTTTGATAAGCCTAAAATATTTAAATCAAAATTAAAACTAAGAAGGCAATATGGAATAGAAGGTGGATGCTTTTGGTTCTGTTTTCATTTCCTTTATGGTTGTTATTCAATAAACTAGAAACAAGAGAGAAAATTCAGTAGTTAAATCAGTACTTTAAAGATTTGCCAGCATTCAGAAGTTCTTTTCTTCAAGGATACATGGAGAATAGAATCCAGTTACTAATCTCAGGGTTTTTTTTTTTTTTTTAAATATATTTTTTTAATTTTTATTTATTTATGATAGTCACACAGAATGAGAGAGAGAGAGGCAGAGACACAGGCAGAAGGAGAAGCAGGCTCCATGCACCGGGAGCCCGACGTGGGATTCGATCCCGGGTCTCCAGGATCGCGCCCTGGGCCAAAGACAGGCGCCAAACCGCTGCGCCACCCAGGGATCCCTAATCTCAGGGTTTGATCTCAGGCCTGTTTGGTTTAGTTTTGGAGAAGTGAACTCAGGATATAACTGCCTGTGTTCTGAGAGCAGCCCCCACCTCTGCACGAGAGTATCTGCTACTCATCCCATGGCTCTCTCAAAGGCTCACAGACCCTTCCCTGCAACCCTCATGTGAAAAGGCCTGGAAGTCATTCCACTGTTGGGTGGAGATAGCTGCTGCCAGCAAACTACTTTGCTTTCCCAGAAAGCCTGTTCCAACCTCTTCCTACTCATTCAGCCAGTCCTCATTCCAGGCTGCTGACCTTGGATTTTCCCTCGCTGTGTAAACAAATAGCTGGGAAACCACATGCGTGAAGGAGATCCTCAGCAGGAATGGAAAATGCAAACTCTGGCACATTCAGAATGCAAAGTAAAACTGGTTGCATATGGATTTCCCCATCTCCTGAGCCTCTGGGGCTCCCTGCTCAGCCTTTCTTTAAGGAGTCAGAATAGCCCAGTCCCTGATTGCCCTCAGTTCTGCGGTTTTCTCATATGGATTCCTAAGGGAGGAGAGGCCGTCTGTCCCCAGTGGATAAACGGAAGGAAGCTGGTCCAGGTAACTGCTTGTTCAGTTGAGTTAGTCAATCAACCCAGGATCTGCTCAGACGTCATACACAATCATAAAATTCTTATTATTTTGGTTGCGGTTTCTGCTACAGCTGAAACATCCTACTTGTCGTAGGATGGAAAGAGGCAATTTTGTTACGTATTGTTGACAACTGGGAGCAGAGAGTGATAGATAAGGGGAACCTCTAGGGCCCTGTTTAGGGCCGTGCTCCCCGAAGAGTGGTTCATGGGCCTGCGGCGGGATCACCAGCCGCCTGTGAGGACTGCCGCGGGAGGGCTGCGCTCCAGACCGAATCGGACTCTCGGGGGAGGGCTGCGAATTCGACAAGGCCCCGCTCCCGTGGCTGCGATGCACGGAAGTGGGGGGAGGCACTGACCGCCGACAGCCGGGCGTGTGGAGGGCCCAGCAGGGGAGGTGCCCACCTTCACGATCTGTCACGGTTCGAGGACCGACGAGGAACCGGGGTGAAGCGGTTGGAAGGAGTTCGATCCTGGGCCCGAGCGGAGCCCCCGCTGGGGACACGGCGCCCGAGGTGCGGCCGGCGGTGACCGCGGCCCGGCGCGCGGGTGGACAGTGGACACGCACTGTCACGCTGACTGGACCGCGGTCGCTCCTAGGACTGTTGTTTCCGGATTCCCGCTTGAGTCGGGAAGGGCCGGACGCCCAGGGGGGGCCCCGGCGGCCCCGGCGCAGCGCTGCCCCTGCTCTCGGGCCGCCCGGGCGACCCAGGCCCCCCACCGCCGCCGCAGGTTCCCCCGGCCTCCGACCGCCTGCGGGCGGGCGAACGACGCGACGGCGAGCCCCGCCTCCCCTCAGCTCTGGAGGCGTCGACCCCGCGGCGGGAAGCGCCCTCCGAGCCAACGGGCGGAGCCCGCGTAGAGGCGACGGCGCGCGAGAGACGGCGGGAGGAGGGCGTCCGCTGGCCCGGCAACCAATCAGAGCAGGGCAGCGGGCAGGCCCGCCTCCCAGTGGCTGCTCAGGCGCTGCCTGCTCTTGGAGTGGACGAGCTGCCTGCCAATCGGGGCGGGGCACGCGGAGCCTCGGCCAATAGCGGCAGGCGGCCGGGTCGGGCCGGTGGCCCTGCGGCGCGCGGTGGTCGGCGAGCCCGCTGGCGCTGAGGGAGCGGCCGCCCTCCCGCCGCCGCGCTGCGCCCTGGGCCCCGCGGCCGGCCCGGCGGCCGCGCCGCGTCACGCTGGGGGCTGCTCGGCGCTAGTGCCCGGGCCGCCGCCGCCGCCGCCGCCCGCCCGCCCGCCCGAAGCCGCGCCCACCGCCCAGAGCCAGAGGGATGGTGGTAGTCACGGGGCGGGAGCCAGACAGCCGTCGTCCGGACGGTGCCATGTCCAGCTCCGACGCTGAGGACGACTTCCTGGAGCCGGCCACCCCGACGGCCACGCAGGCGGGCCACGCGCTGCCGCTGCTGCCCCAGGAGGTACTGCGGGGGGGCGTCGGGGGCGCCCGGGAGCAGCTGCCGCCCGGCGGAGCTGACCCCGGGCTGCGAGCGGTGCGGAGGCTGCGGTCAGCGGGCGGCCTGCTCCCCGCCCACCGGCGTGTCTGCTCGCCCGAGGGCACAGCGGCCCCGCCACCCCCCTCCGCCCGGGTCCGCCGGCCGCGGGGCTGCCACACTCCCGCTGCTCGCTCCGTCCCTGACGACGAGGAGGGAGGGTGGCGGTGGGAGGGGACCTCGGAGCCCCCAGAGGGAGTGTCTTCCGGGAGATGCAGCCTCCAGCTGCCCCGACCGTGGGGGTTAGGGACTCTGCAGAGGAGGAGCAGGCCGGTGGGTACACGTGTCCACCCGCACCTGACAGCTCCGTGGTTTCCCTCTGTGGCCGCTGTGCTGTGCTGCTCCCACCGGGCTTGACGTGTAATGGCGGGATCGTATTTAGGGCCGAAAGCGCCATGAGGAGGGAGGTGGAGCCCTCCTGGGCCCCGAAGAAGGAGGCTGGGCGGTAGGAGGCAGGAGCTAAGGTAGTGCTGGACGTGGGACCTGTGATGTGTGCAGTCCTAGGAGAAGGGGCAGCCTCAGGGGGCACGGGGAGGGGGGACTGGAAGCCTGTACTCTCAACATCATGAAACACTTGTGACAATGAGCAAAACCCTAGAAGTACTCTTTGCAGCTGGGCGGGGGTGGGGGTGGGGGAAGCCTAGGAACGCTGCGGTGCTTATTTTTTGTGCACTGTCACTGGAGAGACAATGTGGCTTGACAGAAAGTGCAGGACCCAGAGACCATAGGCCTGTTCCCCCGTAGATACATTGTTCCATGTGAGACCTAAAGCTGTTTTGACTGCTTTTTCCTGTGTGCCTCGGTCTTTTCAGCTCTACTATGGAGCAAACTCTTGGATTGATATGAGGTGTCCTTGGAAAAGGTGTAAAGAGCCCCAGAAATGGAAAGTATTATTATCCCAAAATAATATTTGAGTCCTTGGTATGCATAGACAGTAGTTTTAGAGGAGCTATAGAGTAAGTAGAAGGTATTTGCTGTCCTTTGGTTGCAGAAGAGTATAACAGTGTGTACATACACAAGAACTGTACATACTTTTTTTTTAATTCATTTATTCACTCATTCATTCAAGGCATACTTGAGTCTTTACTGTGAGCCAGGCACTGCATTAGGCTCTGGGTAGCTTTGATTTGATGTATTTATATCCTACTTTATTTCACAAAGAATCCTACTTTATTTCACAAAGAAAGCTCATATTACTTTACTTATATATGGAATCTAAAAGACAAAAAAAAAAACAAAGCACAAATAGACTCATAAATACAGAGACCAAACCAGTGGTTACAAGAGGGGAGGGAAGGTGGAGGTATGGGCAAAATGAGTGAAGGGAAGCAGGACGTATTGGCTTCCAGTTACGGAATGAAAAAGTCACTAGGATAAAAGGTACAGCACAGGGAGCACAGTCCATGATACCATAATAGTGATGTATCGTGGCAGGTGGCACCTGCACTTGTGGTCAGCATACCATAAGGTGTAGGCCTGTCAAATCACTGTGTCTATACCCAAAACTAATGTAACATTGTATGTCAACTATACTGCAAAGCTAGGGGAAAGGACTATCTAGATAAATATACACTAGAGCCTGAGAGATGTTGTAATATTGAAAAGTGTGCACTAGTATAAAATTGTAGTTAATCTGGAGGTTTGTGGGAAAATTAGAGAGAACTGGCTTCATTTCTTTTAAAACCACAAGCAGTGAAAGATATTCCACCTCTTACCCCCATACCCCTAAAAAAGGTCCTGAGCACTTGAGAGAACCCAGAGCTTCTCTGGGCCAGTCTCTACCATCATTCCCTGTTCGTCCCCCTGCCTTTGCCTCCAGAAATTTAGCTGTGCTGGGCCTGACCTCACTCTACAGATTAAGTAGGAGAGAAGTGATGAGGTACAGAGAATGTGGAGTGGATACCTGGAATGATTCCACAAACATCGATGAGCTCTGCTGTGGGTGACCTTGTGATTAGTGAATAAAATGTGTCCCTGCCCTCAGGAACCTTGGCGGGCTAGAAGGGTGGGCTGACAGGAGTAAATAACTGCCAGTGTATCATGCTAGGAACTATAATAGAGGAGAGCGTGGCACATAGTGAGGGCACATGGAGGGACTATTTAGTTAACTCTGTGTTGGGGGCAGGTGAGGGACAAAAGAGCCTAAGTGTTCACAGAATCAGGAAACTTGAAGGGAAATTTTTAGAATGAGTGGATGCTACTGACCTATATGGTGCCTTGGTGTGCATTAGAGAAGGGGCACACAGCTGGGCTAGCAGACCACTCACAGACGGGTGCCCTGTGCAGTGAGCAACGCAGACCACATACGTCTGTGGCAGTTGCATTTGCTAGATGGACAGAGGGAGAGTGGGAAGAATGTTCTGGACAGAGAAGACAGCATAAGCAAGGGCATAAAAATGGTTAAGTTCATTCTAGAGAAGAGACAGTAGAACTGGCATGGGGAGGCCTGATTTAATGGCTATCAGAGGGACAGTGGGGTGGACTTGGCAACTGAAGGGTGTAGGGAAAGGGAGGAGAGAGAAGAGCATTCAGAGAGACTCCCAGATTGTAGCCGTGGGTGCCCGGACGGTGCAGCACTAATGAGACCCAAGGAGATGGCCGACAGAGCAGCCCCTGCTCTCATTCCCCAGTGCCGGGCTGAAAGCACTGGTGGTTCCTTTCCAGTTTCCTGAGGTTGTCCCCCTTAACATTGGAGGGGCTCACTTCACCACACGCCTATCTACCCTGCGGCGCTATGAAGACACCATGCTGGCGGCCATGTTCAGCGGGCGGCATTACATCCCCACCGACGCCGAGGGCCGGTACTTCATTGACCGGGATGGCACCCACTTTGGGTATGTTTCTCCCTCTGTGATCAGTTTTGTAGTCCTAATGAGTAAGTGTCATGGGCTTCAGTTTGGGACTTTGGTGTCTTCTATAATAACCTAGGAGAGGAGATAACAAATGTACAGATGCAATTTAGTAAATGTACTTATTGAGTGGGATCAGAAGTCATAGTTTCTTTCCCAGAGAGGACAAGCAATCCCAGGTGACACATACTGGCTGGATGTGATGAAACTGCTGCTGTCCTATGAAATTGAAGACCAGGACGTTGTCATCTGTGCGGAATAGGTGTGATCCCACCTAGAGGTGGGGGAGTTCCAAAACAACCTCTTGGGGAATATCATCAGATTCAGATTCTGGGCTCCATGTTGCCGTTAGGGAGGGATGTGGAGTGTGACAGTGGTTCTCAGACTTCCTTCAATAGTTTAAAATGCATGAACAAAAATGGTGAGGGAAGGGCCAATATATGATTGCCATTTTTTAATTTTGCCAAGAAAAGTCTTTTTAAAAAAGCACCTTCAATTGTGACTGTCATTTTAACACTAAAACATAGAGAAAATAGCCTTTCCCAAGAAAGGACTTCTGATACCTTACACATAAGCAATGTAAAGATTTTGTTTTAGTTTCCTTATTTGTGAAATGAGAAATAATTATAGTTGCCTCACAGGCCTGTCATGCCAATTACATAAGGAGCCTTGGTATGACCCCTGGCCATGTCCTTCCAGAGCATGTGGCTAAAGCTCTTTGCATCTTCGGCCTAACTTTGGAGATGACCAGAGAACTCACATGGTTCTTGACCTTCAATAAATTGACTAGGGGGGTGGGGGGTGGGGGTGCAGAAATGAGATCTCCAACCACTACTCCTCTATCACTCCTCCAAGTAGGATTGCCCACACTGGGAAGAAGGTCATTTTTATCCACAGAAAGGAATCTCTGGTCAAACAATTTACTTTGAACCATCTGGGTGTCCCCATTGGGCTGTTAGCTGCCTCCAATGCTGAGAAAACAAAGTGTCACATCATTCTGCAGAGCTATAAAAAGATTTTTGTTTGCAGGCTCTTTCGGGGAAGAAAGTACTGGCCCCAGCTGGCAGCTCCCACAGCACTCTTAGCTGGGCCTTGCCCCGGGGTTATGTTTTTCAGAGCAGACCAAGGTTTGCTTAAGATCCTAGAGGACTGATTTGGAAAGGGATTGTGGGGAGAGGGAACAGAGTTTGGCTCTAGGTTGATGCGCCCATGCCACGTGGCCATAGCTGGAGAGGGTCAGAGACAGGCAAGGGTGTGGCAGAAAGCAGGATAAATGGCATTTATCCTCAGGCTGCTGGACTCCTATGGCCTATGATTCATCATCAGCAGATGAAGTTGCTTAAAGACTCAGATAAAATAAAGTAGGGGTTTAAGGCATTTGGTCAGGTACATTTCTCTGCTGGTACACTTTATATGCTGCCAGCACCTATGATGAAGTCTGATTGGGCTGACACCTGGACGGTTTCCCATTGTGATCAGTGAATAGCACTTTGCACTAGAGTCTGGACCACTGTGGGTATGGGCTTGGAGTCAATTATGTTTGCATCTGGGCTTCTGCTAGCTGTGGCTCCTTGAGTAAGGGTATTCCTTAACCTGAGCCCCTCTTTTTCCTCATTTATAAAATGGACCTAAAATGGCACTTAACCCACAATGTATTAAAGGGATTAAATGGAACAACACATGAATAGTGGCTGACACAGATTAGTAGTTAGTAAGTGTTAGCTGGTGTTACGTCATGGTTATAGACTAACTACTTAGGCAACATCTTGATCTTTGGCTTTACTCATATATCTTTACAGAAAAGACCTTCCCACACCTACCAGTGATGGATCTGATTACTCTTAGCACTAAAGAATCTGAAGATAGAATTAAAAGAACTGAATTTTTATTTTAAGAAAATACAATATGTGATCTTATTCATTCCAGGGACCAGTTTGTTCAGGCGTTAGGAGTAGGCATTTGATGTCTGTATAGCTACCAAATAAGACTAAAGGCAAGGATATATAGAAGATGGAGAACCCTTCTACATTGCTGGTGGAAATGTAAAATGCTACAACCCTTTTGTTAAGCATGCACTTCACCTTATGACTGAACAATTCTATTCCTAACATTTACCCAAGAGAAGTTGGTATGTGTATCCACAGAAAGTCTTATACAGGAATATTCACCATAGCTTACTCATGAGATCCCCAAACTGGACACAACTCAACTGTCCATCAACAAGAGAAAGGGTAAATAAATTACAGTACATCCATACCATGCCGTGCCATTTAGTTTTTTACATACAACATAAGGGATAAATCTCAGAAACATTCTGTTGAAGGAGAGAAGCCAGGCACAGAAGAGAATGTACTGTGTGCTTCCATTTCTATGAATTTCAAGATGAGCCAAAATTGATCTTCGTTGATAGAATAATTCTGGGATCGAATGGGAAGAAGCAGAGGGAAACTTTAAGGAGATGGAAATGTTTTGTCCTGTATCTTGGTGTAGATGGTGGTTATAAATCAAACTATATGATTAAGATTTGTACCTTTTTTGCACATTAATTATATCTCAATTTATATATATATATAACTTTTACATATATTATATACATATAATATATATAAACCTAGAAATCATATCTTTCCAGTATTCTTATGTATACCCAATAACAGTACCTAATAAAAACAAAAAAACCCTAATAATTATAAATATAATAATAATGATACTGACAATAACAGCTATTAATGTATATTGAGGACTTACCCTGTGCCAGGTATTTTCCAAGGACTTTTTATCTCTTAACTTCTTTAATCCCTTCATACCATTATGGGGTAGTTTTTAATTTTCTTCCATTTTACAGATAAGAAAATCAAGGCATAGAGAGGTTAGGTTCAGTTACCCAAGGTTTCATAGCTGGTAGTCTGGTTCCAGATTCTGTGCTCTAACCTCTGTGTGACACTGCCCAGGTCCATTAGCTCCTTCTCACCAAACTGTCTTTCCTTCCCGCTCAGAGATGTGCTGAATTTCTTGCGCTCAGGGGACCTGCCGCCCCGGGAGCGTGTGCGGGCTGTGTACAAAGAGGCCCAGTACTATGCCATCGGGCCCCTCCTGGAGCAGCTAGAAAACATGCAGCCTCTGAAGGGGGAGAAAGTGCGCCAGGCATTTCTGGGACTCATGCCCTATTACAAAGGTGAGGGGTCAGCTGCCCAGGGTGGTGGAGGTGTGGGAAGGAGGGTTGTAAGGCATCTGTCCATGCCTAGGTCTGCACCCAGAAGAAGTGAGTCCAAGATTCATCTATATTACTCAAGGTTGGAGAGATTCCTGCTCCCCTTTCTGCCCCCCCCCCACCTTCCCCACTGGGAAGATTCAGGTTAAATAGGGCCCACCTTGCCTATGACATCATCAAATCACATTTCAAAAGGATTGTCTTCATCCCATCTTTTTGGTTTCCTTTTGTCATGGCAACTTATGATTCCCATTTATGTTTGTGCCTTTCAAAGGCCTCCAGAGTCCCTTCCCTGGGACCTCCCTCCCCTGCTGGACCCTGCCTTCACTGGGGCTCTCTCTTTGCGCCCTGACACTGCCTTGCCCACCCTCCACCCCCACCTCCCTGACCCCTGTCCCAGTAATGGCTGCTGTGTTCACCCCCATAGACCATTTGGAGCGGATTGTGGAGATTGCCCGGCTGCGTGCAGTACAGCGGAAGGCCCGCTTTGCCAAGCTCAAGGTCTGTGTCTTCAAGGAAGAGATGCCCATCACCCCCTATGAGTGTCCACTTCTCAACTCCCTGCGCTTCGAGCGGAGCGAGAGTGATGGGCAGCTCTTTGAGCACCATTGCGAAGTGGATGTGTCTTTTGGGCCCTGGGAGGCTGTGGCTGATGTTTATGACCTACTGCATTGCCTGGTCACAGACCTCTCAGCCCAGGGCCTCATCGTGGACCACCAGTGCATCGGGGTGTGTGACAAGCACCTCATCAACCACTACTACTGCAAGCGCCCCATCTATGAGTTCAAGATCACATGGTGGTGAGTAGCCCTGGTAGGGAACAGAGTCCTGTCAGGGAGGGTGTCCATTCTCTTTAGTGGCTCTGGGAATAAGATCCCTGGAAGGGATACTGACTGACCCAGACCTGCTGAGGTGAGGACCAAGTCCTGAGGCACAGCTCCAAAAGGATGGAGGTCTCCCGGCAGCTCCAGTCTCCCGGCTGTACCTCGGGGTCAGGCTCAGGGCTTGTGGTCCACAGGGACTTGGCACCTGCACTCCCCTGACCTTTCCTCAAGGCACAGCAGACTTTGCCTGAGGCTGATGGTGTCTGGCTAGCTAGGGCTTGACCAGGAAGTCCAGAGAGGTTTTGTCACTCTCTTGACCTTGCAAGAGAGTTTCTGCCCTTTTTAGAGCCACATTACCAAACTAATATAGGAATAATCACTTCCTCAGCCCTGTTCAATTATCCTTTCCTTGTGCCTAGCGTATAGGTATAAACACAGAATATAATGGGGGATTTACCCAAGTAACCACCCCACAGCCCCTGACTGAAGAAGAAGCATCTTCTCTCCCTCTTCCCCCAGGGATAGTTCCACACTTTATTTTAGGATGTGGAAAGACTCTTCCTTCTGAAACATATTCTTCACCACCTTTTGGAGATGTAACCATAGTTGCCAAAGCCATGTACCAGGTTGGCCTTAGAAAAAGCACAATGTTTACAGCCCTACCTCAGGGCCTTGGCTTCTCCTACTTTCCACCAACCTTCCTTGCTTGAACAGTTATCTTCTCAGGGCTGTTATGCAGATTTCAGAGGTTCCTTTTGAAGATTCCCTGAGTCAAGCAGGCAAGTTGCGTAGATCTTCTGTTTTCTTTGAGACGAAACATCCTTTCTGGAGGCTCAGAATCTCTTTGGCTGCCATTTCATGTGTCAGCATCCAATTTGTGGTGAACCTCCATAGATAGAAGCACCCTCTTTTTTAAACCCTGTTCTTGCTGCTCACATTCTCCTAGGAGAGTTTCTGTTCTGAGAAAGCAAAGAAAGGATTGGGGGGAGGCACAGCTATACCAGGAACTGTAGGATGATAGCAGCAAAGCTTCATCATGTTTTACCCTCCACATCTCAGAGAGGTAACGATCCACAAGGTTCAGCTCCCACTGCATTTTCTTCTTGCTCCATCTGCAAGCTGGGGCAGTTAAGCAGGATATGCATGCATTTCCTAAACGAGGAGCTACGCAGCATCAGTAATTGGAACATAACATTTCTTTGCTGCATTAAAGGCTTTTCCCTGTGATCGTGAGTGTATAGAGATTTTTTTTTATATGTAAAAACTTTGTGAGGACAGCGTCACTACTTTCAGTCCTACAAGACTGGATTGGTGAGGTAGGGCGAGGGGGAACTGAAGACATCTGCATACCTTTGAGGAAGAGAAGGCGGAGCCCTGGGACCTGGCTGGATTCCTTCATGGGGCAGTGACTTCTAGCCCTCTGTGGAACAGGATTCCAGGGTGTGGTTTTGCACTCTTAGGTTTTATCTCATATGGTGGAACAGAAGTATAGACTGAGCTCTAAGAGGAAAGTGCAGTCGGTCATTCAGGTTCTGAGATATATGTTTTTGCTATTGTTCTCATCCACAAATGAAATCATCACAATTCTCGAGTTGGTGTCCCTGCTTGAAGCTTAGTCTGGTAGCATGGCTCATGTCTTGTTCTAACAGAAGTCTTTTGTTTAAATTACTCCAGTTGATGTTACTGCCTAATACAAATCCATTTTTGGACAGACACTGAGGCAAGGTATTGAGAAGAAAGGCAGTGAGAGTAGAAAGCAGACAATTAATCCCAATGCTTTCAGTAAACTGGCCTTGGTTCCTTCTTGTTCCCACTCCTGGCACAGAGTATCACAGTACTTGGTTATTTAGAATTCATACGTATAAGATTGTGACTTGTTTGATCAAATGCAAGTTTGCTCAAAAATAGGCCCTGAAGACTAACTTTGGGGGGGCGCCTGGGCAGCTCGGTCTGCTGGGTGTGTCTGCCTTCAGCTCGGGTCATGATCCTGGGGTCCTGGGATTGAGCCACCTCAGGCTCCCCACTTAGCAGGGAGCCTACTTCCCCCATTCCCTCTGCCCCTCCTGCCCACTCGTGCTCTCTGTTGTGCATGCTCTCTCTCTCAAATAATTAAAGTCTTAAAAAAAAAAAAAAAAGACTAGCTTAGGGACACAGGGACAGGGGATAAGAGCACTGTCCCCATGCCCCTTGCTAGAGACACCCCTTGGGACCCACTCTGCCCCTGTGTTGCCCTTACAGTGGTATACTCTATGACACTGTGGGAGAGACAAGGCTCTGGGCCAGTGGGCCAGGGAGAATAGGGATACTGGCAGCCAGCTTAGAGCCCTTTCCAAATGAAATAAAAGAGTTCAGTGGCCTAGTTTGGCCATTCTGTGATGAGAAGCCAAGGCCAGGATGAAAAGTGCTCCTGGATGTGGTGGTTTTGTAGTAATGGTCTCCAAATAAAGGTCATATCTGAGGAAGTGACTTCTCCCAGTTATTTCCCTTCTCAGTTCTAAATGGTCAGGTCTAGAGCATAAACAGGGTTGGGTTAGGAAGGAGGGCTCCAAAGGATGAGTGCTTCTTCCCAATGGAAAGGGAATATATTTTCATAGAATTCTTGTGTGTAATATTGATGGGTCAAACCAAGTGCCTGCCTTTGGAAGCTTCCATTATGTTTGACTTTGGGCACCTTTTCTCCCAGGTGTCATGCTCACTGGATGGGAAGGTAAAAGTTTTAGGAGATAGGATTGTATGGTGCAATAGCAGCCATAACAAAATTCAATAAAAATGAAAAACTTAATGCCAACAAAAAAAGATTGAAACAAAACCGCAATGAAACACATCACAGCATCCCAGATGGAGGAGTTCTTTGGGTAACGCTCTAAATAGAAGAAATAGAGGAGTCATCACCATCCTTCTTCTACCTTTGGTTAACTCACGAGGCTGTCCAGTGTTTATCATGTGGAAAGCAGTCAACTGTGCTCTGAAAGTTTCTATTCTTTCTTCCTGGGGCTTAGGATATTCTAGGAGCTGTCTGAGCCTTGTGCCTCAGGTTGGTCAGGTGACATAATCTTCCTGTTCTGGGTTGCTTGTTGGAGGACTAGAAGAATGACATTTGCAAACCGCAAAGTTGGGTGAGCCTCAGTGTGTGATCTTGGTCTAAGCTGGATCCTGAAGAGGTTAAGACAAATGACAACAACAAAACAAAAACTAGTCCTGCTGATCATTTTGATCCCAGATAGAATTTTAAATATCCTTTGGTATACCTTCTGGCCATATTTGATTCTGAGTTAAGCTTTCTTGGGTACCTTTTTGCTGGGGATCTTTAATGAAGGTAGTGCCTGCTTGTGATCCTTAAAAGAGGAGGCTTTATTCATCAGAAGCCGGAGTGTGGGGAACTGGAGTGGAAGAGGCACTTTTTGGAATTCCGGAAGAAACATATATGTATACATATGTTAATTGGGGGAAGGGTGGGTTGGCAGGGGTTGAGGAGGCGGGAACAAAGATTGGGTATAGAAACAGTTTGCTTCTGGAGCACGGGAGGTCACCTGGGTCCACTGTCTTCCTTCTGTATGGTATTGGGTTTGTGTAAATGGTGTAACACTTCCTATGTTTATTTAATACCTGTCTGTGAGCGCTTTGGTGCATGGAGCCCCAATACCCTCACGTGGCATTAAAGAATTAGAACCTGGGTGCTGTGCCTTTCTTTTTTAGAGACTTATTTCATCCCTCCTCTGCCCCGCACTGTGCCAGCAAATAATGTCTTGATTTGTGCTTAAGATATGATATGTTTGGGAATGCTCAGCGAAATAAAATAGGTTCTTTCCTGAAACCAACAGCTGAACTTCTGCCCTGGCTTGAAGTTAAAGGGAGATGGGCCCTATGGAAGGCAGTTCTGCAGTTACTCTAGCCTTGTCTCTGTTCCACAGGTGGGAGTGTGCCCACCCAGCCTAAGCATACAGCTCTGCCCTCTTATATTGAGAGGTATCCAGGGGAAGAAAATACCACAATAGTCACTTTGTGGCTCACAACCATGTCAGGTGGTTCTGACAGAAAGCCCTCCTATTGTGTCACCACTTCTTTCAAGGGAGACATAAATGGCTCTAAGCTTATGTGAGCCTCAGTGGTTAAGACCCTTCCTTAAGGAAAATGGACATAAGTTGCCCTTCCTCTGAAAGCAGAGTTGACATCTTCCTGGCTAATAGGTGTCCTCATCAAGATGTTCCTTGGAGTCATTTCATGGATTAACCCAGAAAGGTGAGTTCTGAAATGCTGGGTTAGCTGTGCCACCCTCCAACTGCCTCCTTAAATCTCTGATTACACTGACTTTTAAACAGAAGCACTACATTACCTGTGCCAGGTCTATTCCCTGACCTACTTATTGCGCACACAATCACATGGTAATGATACACTAATGGTACTTAACAAGTTGTAAACTGAACAACATGAAGGTGTAATTTCCTCAAAGGCACATAGCCAGTAAGTAACAAAGTCAGGATTCAAACCCAGGGTCCTTTTCTGAAATCCTCACAGGTGTTCAGTAGAGCCCTCCCTTCTTGGCAGCTCAGTGTCCCACCATTCAGGCTTAGGGCTTCACCTAGCTTCTACCAGTGAAAATTTGAAGAGCAGATAATCTAGAAGGAAAGGAGAGACTTTCTTTGATGTGTGGGTTTTGCGTGCCCTTGAGCATTGAGGGGCTAGCTGGGGTCTCCAGTGTACTGCCCTTCTAGTGAGAGACACACGGTCACTAGTTGGAGACAGGCCCCACTCACGGACGATGAGCAGAGGTAAGTGCTGGCTGCCTGGTTGGACCCTGGTGTGGTGAGATGGTCCGGGATCAGACTCCTGCAGCCTACAGGCCTCACCATGCAGACGTGCTATGCAGCCCAACCATGTGGGGGAAGTATGCCTGAGGCCTCGGCCCTCCTTCAGGGACCCCTGGCATCAAGAGAATAATGGAATATATGGCTTTTTAATTTAGCTCAGGGGCTCTTGTGTGCCTGGCTTGGGGCTTATGGCCTTTAGACTCTGGGTGTCAACCCTGCCTGTTTATTCCTTTGTCATCATTTTGAAGATGACCTCTTAGCTAGCTTTACTTACTTCTCATTTTGATTTGTTTAACTTACAGCATGTTCCTTTAGCTTTTATTTACCTTTAATTTTCTTTTGATTTCTTACCATTTTGTTCTTCCTATCCTGTATTTTAGTGTTCTCTATTTTTTAAACACAGTTTTAAACTTTATTTCTAACATAACTTTAAAATGAAGCACCTATATGAATAGGATGCTAATGAAGGTAGTTCTTGTTCTGAGCAAGGGTAATTATGTGCTTTTCTTTCCTTCTCTAGTCATTTCTACAGTGATCTTATTTATTTGTTTGTTTGTTTGTTTATTTATTTATTTATTTATGATAGTCACACACAGAGAGAGAGAGAGAGGCAGAGACACAGGCAGAGGGAGAAGCAGGCTCCATGTACCGGGAGCCTGACGTGGGATTCGATCCCGGGTCTCCAGGATCGCGCCCTGGGCCAAAGGCAGGCGCCAAACCGCTGCGCCACCCAGGGATCCCTACAGTGATCTTATTAACTGTGAACATTAGGTATCTCATTTCTCCCTAAGATGAATATCTTCTTCTAAAGTCTAAATACAGAGAAAAACTGACAGTGTTATTCCAGAAGTCATAGATCCAGGTTATCTACGAGATCCAATGGCCACGCTTTTACCTCCTCCTCCAGAATCCCCCATCCACCCGCATACATGCAGTAACATGTTCAGACTTAGGAACAGGGTAGTCCCATTCCTGACTGCTAAGGACTTCTTCGTTCACATACCTGTTCTTCCTGAGCAGTGACATGAATAAGTTGGGAGCAGTGCTGGACACCTCCAACCACCTGTAACTAAGTAGAAACGTTCAGGACTGTTGTACATCCGGAAAAAAATCCAAGGCAACTGCAGGAAAGACTTTGAATTGAATCATCTTAAACTCTCCAGAAGTGCTTCATAAAAGGGGCCCGAATCATGTTGTGATGTATCTTTTCCACCCTTCTGTGATCTCAGTAGCAACCTGAATCACCCACAAACCATGACTTCTAGAAGATTCTCCTAATATATTACAGACTCTGGGTTTTTTCCTATATATCATGTGATCTTGGCAGATGGCCTAGCCCTAGTAGATCTTGGAATATATATATATATATATATATATATATATACTTCTCTTTTGTTACTAAAATTAAGAAATAGAACCCCAAAGCACCACAAAACTTGGAGCTTGACCTCCATTAAAAGAAATGTATGTTAAGAGTTGAGTTGAAATATTTATAGCTTTTTATTTTTGTAAAGGGATTGGATGGTATCATGAGTAGGTTTAAGTCCCCAGAATGTGTATCAACTTCTATAAATGTCTTTATTAGTGTGTTTTCCAACATTACATCCTTACCTTCAGCTCTGCCTCAGCTTATGTTGCCCACTGTCCCTACTCTCACCATGTCATCTCCACCACTACCCACCCCTGCCACTCATGACTGCCCTGTCTTTATCATTTTAAAGGTGGTTCCATTTCTGACCAATCCCTCACCCAGCATTTGGTAGCCAGCCCTAGCAGTGACACTGTCCAGCACTGCTCCCAACTTATTTTCAGGCAGTTAGGTGCTCTTTACACTGAGGTCCCTGACTTTCCAATTCAGCTTTCTCATCTGGCCTGCTAGGATCTGAAGAGCATTTTCAGCCCTTCTCTCTAACCTCTGTGTCTACTTCCACCACGGCAGCAGAGGATACTTGTAAGACCCTAATGAACAAATAAGTTAGCTTCACTCTCCTCTACTTGGAAAGGACAGTCAAAATACTTTTCCTGGAAATTACATTCACCAAGAGCTTCCTAACAAAAATAGGGACTTCCCTGGTGAGCTGACCACATCACTATTGGCTGAAATGAGGATGGCATTGTTCACTTGGCAGTCCCAGAAGTCAAGGCAGAATGTATCTGCTTCCAGACATATTCAGGGAATAGTCTATCCAATTGCCTAATTTTTTTTAAAGATCTTATTTATTCATGAGAGACACAGGCAGAGGGAGAAACAGGCTCCCTGCGGGGAGCCCAACGTGGGACTAGATCCCGGATCTCCGGATCATGCCCTGAACTGAAGGCAGATGCTCAACCGCTGAGCCATCCAGGCATTCCCCCAATTGCCTAATTTTATGCTAACAAATGCAGCTCTCTTTGGAAATTCTCATCTGTTCGGGGAAGCAGAACATGAGGAAGACCCTTAGAGTCACCTGCAGGGATGTTCTACCACTTACATTGGCTGGGCCTTTATCCCGGAGGATTCCACAGACATGGGGTTTATTGCCTGAGTTGAACCCTGTCAGTGCTGTTCCCTGCTGGGATGGCATTCCTGACTCCTTTATGGCAGCAGCACCCCTGGGACAGCCCGGGTTTGTGGATTAAGATACAGAGGTAGAATTTCCAGATAATCCAACCCAGGTATCCTCATGATAATGTAAAAGAAAGTGATGTTTGTTAGGTGGAAGGGTCTCCAGATACTCAACTACCCATGACTTTGGGGGTTATAGGCAGTAGCCATTCATTCATCCTCAACTTCTCCACATGATCATCCTGTCTTTTTAGGAAGGGGTTTCACCTGACCCCTTGTTAAGGACCCATAATTCCAATAACTGAAAACCCTGTACATCTTTTCTCCTATTTTGGCCCTACACAACCAAGACATACTTCAGTGCCTTGACAGGGGTCACAAGGAGGCACAAGCATGGGCAGCCTCTGTCACTTGTTTCTGCGTGTCTCTGATGCTGATATTGGCAGGCCAACACCTTGTAGGTGTGAAAGTTGCAGTATAACCAACAGATTCAAGGTCTAGGGGCAGCATTTGAAAGAACTCCTCAGGGATGTCGGTCTACCTTGCCTGGAGTACTCAAGGTGAAACCGGGAGCTTGCTCTACACAGTGAAGGCAGGCCAATGTTTTTCAAACATTTTGGCTTCAGAAGATACTCCAAATAAATGCAAGATCCCAAGAAAGAGGCCAGTAGGGAAATTCCAACTCTGGTTGTAGCTAACAGAGAAGCCTTTGCAGGCTGCAATGCAGGTAGGTACTACATGCAGCAGAGGCCAACCAAAATTCAGACCCTGCTGACGTGTCACAAAAAGGAGCTGTGTTGTTTTATAATGGCTGACTGGGGTGACAGGAGAGGAAATTGAACTCTGTTGCTTCTGTTCCACCTATTGCTATTCCACGTGCCTTTACATCTAACCCATTCAAAATGGAGAGTAACAGGGAGACTTCTTGGGACCTTATATGACCTTATCAGTCTGTACTGACTCCTTCTTCGGTGATCTTGCCTGAATTGCATTGAGTCATTTGTATTAGTCAAGAGAAAAAAAAAAACATGCAGTAATCTGAACAATTTATATCTTTTTTTTTTTTTAAATTCATGAGAGACCCAGAGAGAGGCAGAAACACCAGCCTGCAGGGAGCCTGATGGAGGACTTGATCCCAGGACCCAGGGATCATGACCTGAACCAGAGGTAGATGCTTAACCACTGAGCCACCCAGGTGCCCCAATTTATATTTTTAATATAAATAACTGCTAATTATAATTGGATTGGAATAATGAGGGATTGGCTAATGAACAGTAGTGATAACTATGAAGAATATAGGAGTAGCACATAGAGCTAGAA